GCTTATTAACAAAATATTAGTATTATAACATCTAATTCTCACAAATTCCGAGTATTGAAAAGTTTGTGGTTTTTTTGAACCGACAGATCGCACACAAGTATTGCATGTTCTACATATTTTTATTATAGATGACAAACAATATCCTGCAACGTTGTATGAACAATTCATCTGTATATTATTATATTCTGTCACTACACTTATGTCAAAAGGAGGAATGTTCTCTACAATTATAGATGCATCAGATATAAACGGCTGAGATACATTATTTTTTTTAGATGTTAAATAATCTATAAAACCAGGAAGATATTCGCTATCATCAATCTCATAGTTTCCTGTCAATATTGCTTTTGTAAACATGGATATGGCAACCAGTTTTAAATTATTTTTAAATTGTAAAGCATCTGAAATCACATGTCTTTGTCGCAAAACTGAGAATACATTTTCAACGCAGTCCTGCCTAAAACGACCCGTCAAAACAAATTTAAAGTTGCGCTCGTTTAACAAAAATTCAACTAACAAGGGACATTCGGCAACGCGGAAATTCAAAAAAATCTGAAACTCTGCATAATTGTAGAGCAGATATACCTAATAACAAAACAATTTTTCGTTGGTGCCCAAAAACGGTTTTAAGGGTGGAAACAACCCCTTGAACAAAGTTGATTTTTGTCTTTCTAAGCGAATATTATCGAAACTATTAAAGATATGAAAAAATGTTTTAGACAAAAGTTTTATGGTTTTAAAAGTACTTTATTATGCTATATTTAGATTTTTTTAAAATGTAAAATTGTGTATAAAATACCCCCCCTCCTTCTCTTTTTTCAAATTGTTAAAATCAATTGTCCAACCAAAATAAAGCTTATTTTATGACAAATTCAACCATATATAATAACATTATGTTTGGAAAAGGCAATATTGAAAAAAAAATTAAACATGCTCTTATATGTATGCTACGCGTACCAAACTTAAGGATTCGCTACTTGACGATGGCATTTCTTTCTTCCTCAAATCTTCCTCATAATTGCAAACTGTAAAAGATAAGGAAGGAAGAAAATAGAAAATCTAAAAAAGCAATAAAGTTGATGTTAAGAAGTAAGAAGGAGAAAAATAGCATGATAAGGATACAGTCACTAATATTTAAAAATGTTATAAATTATAAAATTTCACGTAATAGACGTTTATTTTGCCAACATTGCGGCTACCTTTTTTATTAATTTAAACGACGCGTAAATATAAATAAATATGTGTGTGTGTGTATGTGTGTTTTTGTACGTGCGCACGTGTGTGTACATCATGGCAACATGCAAAACACTTGTCACAAGTTTTATGACTGTGCGACCAAAATAGCACTCTTTATCAAGTACAGTGCAATCAAGGTTCATTATATTAACATATGTTATCTTCATTCATTTGCATATAAAAGCTGTCCATTTTGGAATACATTTCAGTGTTATTGAAGCAGTTATTGAAGCAGTACGTATATTATTATTGCTGTGAGAAATGTTTAATTAAAATATCCTTAAGATTTGTATCACAATGTCAGTAATAAATCCAGCTAATGTTATTAATTTGTTAATTGCGACATTTCATTTCACAAATATTGCAATAACTCCTGTTAATCATCAAGAGGTGGAACTCCATGATAGAATTACTGATTTAATAAAGAGTGCTATACATCACGATATTACGATCGAACATGAGTGGAGACTTGATTTTGACGATCCATCAGAACCGCATGACGTACAATTTGTAGATGTGTACGATATTGATGCTGAAGAAGATAATTATGGAAATGAAGTTTGCACTGTGGATGATGAAGGTGGAAATGTAAACTTAAATTATAAGAAAAAGGCAATCGAATTTTGGAAGAGTGGAAAGAAAGGACATTTATCTCTTACGTCTGTACAACATCGTTTTAGAAAAGTAAAGTTTAATTAAATAATAAGAAGAATAATATATAGTAAAATACTTGAGGCTTTTACGGTGTACAGTGACCGGCAGTGATTCGTTCCGCGACAGAGAGAACTCTATTTCCCCTCTCGCGGAACGCATCATTGTCGGTCATTGTACATACAGCTTTGACTATAAGTATAAAGCATCTCAAAAAATTTATTTAAATTGTGTAACAAAAACATACTATATGAATATATGGAGAACATAATATAGTATACGAGTATATGGAAAAATAATATAATAAAAAAATATAATATAAGAATATGTGGAAAATAATATTTATTTTACAATATTTATTGTAATATAATATAATATTAATATAATATAAATTATAATATAAATATAATATACATAAATATAATATACACATTATATTACAAAATATTAATATAATATTTATTGTAAAGAGATTATATATTTACTATGAGTATATGCATTGATTTCTAGGAAAATACAATGAGTTAGAGATGCTTTATACTTATGACCAAAGCTGTAAATTATATAGTTAGAGTCGCGTTGTTTTTTATTTTAAGTTTTACAATTTGATGTTTCGTGAACATTTAATTCGTATATAACTTCTTTTATTTTTGAATTCGAATTGTTTAATATTGAGATTTGTTTTCTTCTAGGTAAAATCTATTCAACAATTGCACAGATGGCAAGAACATGTAATGCGTGGGGGTTCAAATACAGACAAACTTGTAGTTATTGCTGAATATGTTCTTATAAAATTCCAAGAAGCTGTTAATAGAGGACTTATTATTCATGATATAAATCTGCGAAAATGGGCACTAGAAGCAAAGGAACAAGTGGATTTTTCTTCATTTAAAGCAGGAAATTGGTGGATATGGAATTTTAAAAAGGCACATCGTATTACATCACGTAAAATAACTGCATTTAAAACGCGGTCTTCTCATTTAACTGATCTAACTATACGTCAAAACGCTGAGGAATTTACTGAGGAAATACAGTAAAGCCACATATTAATGTAATCGGTGCTGAATCAACTTATAATGCGGATGAAAGTGGCTTTAATTTAGAAATACATGCAGGAAGAACATTAGCTAATGTAGGAGTGAAGACAGTTGGAGCTACTATCCAATCTTTATCTGCTATGACTCATAGCTACACCATTATGCCTATTATATCTGCAGATGGACATCTCCTTTCGCCTTTGTATATAGTATTAAAAGAATCTACTGGTGTTTTTGGACCACAAGTAGAACAAACTCTTTTTAGACCAGTGAATATTTACATTGCGGCTTCAAAATCAGGGAAATTGACAACTGAACATTTCAAAAATTGGTTCCAAGAAGTGTATCTACCAAACACTGGAGAGAAAAGTATACTACTGCTTGATTCATGGACAGGACATTGCCCGAACCAATTGGAAGAACTTGTACCAAAAGACAAACATGTAAATATTCTAACAATACCAAAAAAAACAACTGCTTTTACACAGCCATTAGATGTTTTTGGTTTCAGAATCTGGAAAAATTTTGTTCGAAGCTTTTCTGATAGTGTTATTATAAATAATTATGACATAAATTTACATTTACGTAATAACATAATAAAATTGCAATCTTTAACACACAATCAACTGTCTTCTCCAAGATTTCGAAATTTATTTAGATATAGCTGGTATAAAAGTGGTTATTTATCAACACGGCCTGAAAAATTTCATAATCCAATCGATTATTGTTATTTTAAAGAAGAAAAACGTATACCAAAATGCAGCATTTGTGGTAAAATGGCTTTTATACGTTGTGCATGGTGCAAGCAATATTTTTGTTTTGAACATTTCTTTGAGCAATATCATTATTGTAATAATTATATAGAATAAATAATATTTTACTGTCCTCAATTCCTGTAAAATTTGTATATATTATAATCCATACCAAAATATAAGATATCTTTCACTCGAATATCTATATCGACTACTTAATTAATAAAACCTATATACTGAATGAAGCAAAACACATACACACAAATGTACACTGAATAAATTTATAAATTATATTTTTCATTATTAAATCCGTGTGTGTTCTCCTTTTTTCTTCATATCATTCATTTCCTTATTTGTTCTTTACAATTGAATTTAAAAGATTACCTATATTAGGGTTATATACACTCTCTCTGCGTCCTCCTTATCATGCTGTTCTTCTTCAACTTACTTCTTAACATCAACTTTATTCTTTTCTTAGATTACCTGTTTTTATTCCTTCCTTACCTTTTACAGTCAGTAATTATGAGGAAGATTTGAGGAAGAAAGAAATGCCATCGTCAAGTAGCGAATCCTTAAGTTTGGAACGCGTAGCATACATATAAGAGCATGTTTAATTTTTTTTCAATATTGCCTTTTCCAAACATAATGTTATTATATATGGTTGAATTTGTCATAAAATAAGCTTTATTTTGGTTGGACAATTGATTTTAACAATTTGAAAAAAGAGAAGGAGGGGGGGTATTTTATACACAATTTTACATTTTAAAAAAATCTAAATATAGCATAATAAAGTACTTTTAAAACCATAAAACTTTTGTCTAAAACATTTTTTCATATCTTTAATAGTTTCGATAATATTCGCTTAGAAAGACAAAAATCAACTTTGTTCAAGGGGTTGTTTCCACCCTTAAAACCGTTTTTGGGCACCAACGAAAAATTGTTTTGTTATTAGGTATATCTGCTCTACAATTATGCAGAGTTTCAGATTTTTTTGAATTTCCGCGTTGCCGAATGTCCCTTGTAAGTCAATAACTGATATAGTGGAAAGTATAATTCCTCTTTGTACAGGTTTAAATACTCCTTTATTACCTATTTTTATGTTGGTAAATAGCTCAATTACTTCACGTAAGAAAGAAATACTCTCATTGTATATGTCAACGTTTTTTAAACCTAAAGCTAAACAACATGGCCTAGAAGTCATCAATGAGAACCACCTGGACATTTGTTTCACAAACCACGCGGTAGTATATAACTCTGGTTTCTGATTCTCTTTGACTAAAAATTCTAAAGAACTACTGACATGGGTTGAGAGAACAGATCGTGCTTTATTGACACGCATTTTATTATAAGTGTTAGTACAATGAATATCATCGTGACGTAATTTAGGTGTTAGGTAAAATTCTAAGTCTTTTTGAGATTCAATTAAGTCATTAAAATGTGCACTTTCAACTCTATTTGATGGTAAGTTATATTTGGTAACGATTTGTTCCGGCAACAGAAAAGATTGATTTGAAAACAATGATTCTTTTAAATTTTTCAAAAGATGTGGCACATCTGCAATAAAATATAGGACTCTATCGGGATTAGAAGGATGAGGTATATAATTTTTAACACTAGAATACCGTCCCACATTTATTCCACAACATTTCTATATCTTACCATTTCCTGGACCCATGTCAGAAGTTACTTAATTGACATGAAGACCAATGTCCTCAGCTTTTTTAATTATCTGAAATATTATGTCTTTCATAATTTCCCCATTAAAGGAGTCACCTGTATAATAGTAACCTACGATATGCTTCCATCGACTAGCTGTACCAGTTAGCATAAATATCAAAGCATGCGTTGCTGTACCTTGTTCATGTGGCAGCGTTATATTTCCAAGTAATGTCTTTGTTGATGAATCATACACATGTTTAGATGTTATACTCGTCTCATCAAGAACGAGTCCACATTCTCTGTCGGTATCATTTTGAAATGTACTCACTTTCATTTGTAAAAAGTGAAACATGTCATTTGAAATACCACTTTCAAATTTTGAATTTTCTATTCGTCGTTGTAAAGTGTGTAAACTTGGAAGAGGTATTTTTTGTTGCAGAAGTTCTTCATATCCAGTTATACCACACGCAAACCTTAACTTAAGTGCACGTTGAACAGTTATATTAGACCAACATTTTGTACTTCGGTGTTTTGTTAATAACGCTTTTATTTGATCTTCGTGGAATACCTTTTTTAATACTTGTTTGTATTTATTATTTGTATCACTCTTTTGGAGTGATTGTATTTGTGAACGCAATACCTTATTTTGTTTACTTAAGAGCATTATACGTTGTTGCAGTTTTTCATTTCTTTCTTCCAGCTTCTTATTAGCAATTTTCTCTTTTGTATCGCTAGCAGGTGAAGTACACACTTTATCCTTTAACGATGATATAGTTAGAACAGGAGCAGGTTCAACAGTGTCATTTATAACCATCTACAACAATATAATACAATATTTACACATAGTTTCTTTCAGTAGTACATATACATTCTCTTATTTCTATTTTACCTGTTTCTCATTTACTTCAATGTGTTCTGTATCATTTAACAATGATGTAATAGGAGCAAGAACAGGTTCAACTATGTCATTTATAACCGTCTACAACAATATAATGCAATCTTCAAAAATACTTTCTTTCAGTAGTATGTATATATTCTCTCATTTCTATTTTACCTGTTTCTCATTTACTGCTATATGTTCTTCATAAATGGGCTGCTGTGTTTCCTCAGTGCTATTAGGTATTGTAACAGGAATTTGTTTTTTTACAAAATATTCAAAAATTGTAGGTACTGCGTTATGTTTCAATTTCCTTTTCTTATCGCTCCTCTGTTCCCACATTTCAGGTTGAAAGTGTACCTATATTACCGTAACATTTAATTGAATAGTAAACATATTCTATATTTGTACATAATAAATAATTTTACCTCGCATACACATGAATGTTTTGCTGGCGTCCAATTATACTTTGTATTTATACGTTCTATTCATTGTCGTCGACATTCATCATCTCTCGGGATTATTTTCAGAATATATCCCTTTTCTGAGGAATTGTTGCAAAATGGTATGGTACATCCAACCATTTTGCAATAATTAACGAAACTATAAAAACTATAAAAACGAAAATATAAACAGTTGTCAAACGCTTACAGGTTATACGAATGTTTGTGTTACTTTTTGCACTATGTTCCGATATTTACGGTCAGTTCATAAATTGTACATTTCATAGATTTTCAGTACTGACGGCGTATGTCTGAACACACCCGATTTCGATCAAACATGGCGGACCACCCAACTTGTCGCCACTTTGATTAGAGGCACTCTAAGGAAACACAGATCGCAGCGACACCACTAAACGTTCGTTGAAAAGGTGACACTTCGAGCGTTACTTTGAGTGTATAAACATCGCAATTGGTGCAGTGGTTGGAAAGTTGTTTGCGTTTGAAAATGAAAAAAAGTAATGAAAAATTGCGCTATATTTTGCAATATTATTACGACAAAGGGAAGAACGCTGCGCAGGCTTGTGAAAAAATTTGTGCTGTGTACGGTGAAGGTACTTTATCAAAATCTGCTACGCGGAAATGGTTCGTTCGCTTTCGTTCTAATTTTGATGTGAAAGATGAGTCACGCTCTGGTCGTCCAATCACCGAAAAAGCTGATGAAATTCTTGAAAAAGTCCAGCAAGATAAGCATATCAGCAGTGTCGATATTGGTATGGAGCTAGGCACTGACCACAAAACTGTTTTGAACCATTTACATAAAGCTGGCTACAAAAAGAAGCTCGATGTATGGGTTCCTCATGAGTTGAGCGCGACAAACATGATAGACCGAATTAACATCTGCGATGCGCTGCTAAAACGCAATGAAATCGAGCCATTTCTAAAATGTGTCATAACCGGTAATGAAAAATGGATAACGTACGACAATCGGAAGCGTAAAAGATCGTGGATAAGGGATGGTGAGCCGTCACAAGCGATCGCGAAGCCAGGATTGACGCCGAAAAAGATGATACTGTGTGTGTGTGGTGGGACTGGAAGGGAATCGTCCACCATGAGGTACTTCCAGTTGGTCAGACGATTGATTCTCAACTCTACTGTGGACAACTAGAGAGATTACGCCAGGCAATTGAAAGAAAACGGCCCGAATTGAATAATAGCAAAGGTGTTGTCTTCCATCATGACAACGCCCGACCACACACTTCTTTGATGACCCGTCAAAAATTGTGAAAGCTTGGTTAGAAAGTTCTGATGCATCCACCGTATAGTCCAGATATAGCACCCTCTGACTATCACTTGTTCCGATCTCTGCAGAACTCTCTCAATGGAATTAAGCTAGTTTTAAAAGAAGCCTGTGAAAATCACTTGATTCAGTTTTTCAACTAGAAACCACAGAAGTTCTTCACCGATGGCATCATGGCTCTACCCGAAAAATGGCGAAACATTGTCGATAATAATGGAGCATATTTGGTTTAAATAAATTCATTTATTCACTATAAGAAAACCTACTATAAGAAAACCAGTTGAATTTTACTAAAAAAATGCCACGAACTTTTTCCCAGACCCAATATTTTGTATATTTCCGTCAAACAAATTGTCAATAGCAGGAACTATTTGATTTCGCAATAAATCTAGATAAGTGTTCGCATTTAAATTTCCTTCGATAAAGAAGGACCCGATAATACCATGTTCGCAAAAACCCGCTCACATGTTCAGTTTTTGGGGATATTGTGTGTGGAGATCACGCATCCAGTGAGGGTTCTCGTCACTCCAATAGCGGCAATTCTGACGATTTACCGTTCCATTTAATTCGAAAGGAACTTCATCGGAAAAAATGATATTATTAAGAAAAGTGTTATCATTATCGCATTGACGCGTCATTTCATCGCAAAACTCATTTCTTCTATCAAAATCACATTCCGCTAGTCCCTGAGTAAACTTTATTTTGAAAGAATTCCATTTTTCTCTCATTATAATTTTATGAATGGAAAATGAACTTCAGTCGCCTGTGCTACCTTTCTTATCGAAGAATTAGGATTTTCTACAAATGATTGCATCACATCCAAACTTTTATCGAAATGTATCTCTAATTTTGGTCTACCACTCCGCGGGCGATCCTTGACAGATCTCGTTTCTTCGAATCATCTGACAGTTTTTTGAGCCGTAGACTTTAAAATTGGTTCATGATCTGCATAAGTATCGTTAAACAAAGTCGCTACTTATTCCAAGAACCTAACGCGGTCACCATATCCTCGCATCATCAATATTGTAATTCTTTCCCTTTTAGTCAATACCATTTTGGCGACTACCGAAGGTAATTTCTTACTTTGCAAAAGAAATTACTTTGACTTGATATACGAACAAGTAATTTGTTACTTGTATGACGAATACGATCTGCATTTAGTATCTAGCATCTAATAAATTTTCTTCGATAAAGAAGGATCCGATAACTAAAAACCCGTCAACATGTTTTTTTGGGGATACTACATGTAGATATCACGTCTGTGCTACCTTACTTATCGAAGAATAAGGATGAGCTCATACAAATGATTTGTAAGTCCAATGACAATTTAGAAATAATTTATTACCATGTGTACGCGACGAAACCTGTTAACTTGGTAGACCTTAAGGAACGCATACTGCACCAAGTAAATCTTATCTCATCAGAAATGAGACGAAACGTTTTAAATGAATTTCATCTACGATTAAGTCATTGTCAAGCAGCAGACGGAAGACAATTTGAACACTTAATTCAGTAAAAACCCTCCTACATACACACGCACGCGCGCGCACACACACATACACACACAGGGGTGCAAAGTCCGACCATGCAACCTCCACGCGGTACATCCTGGATAATACTAATGCTGGCGGTACCATAAATTCTAAAGCTCATAATTCAGACAATTCTCAACAAAACTAAGTCATCAAGTTGTATTTTGGAAACGTCTCGCAGTCATCTTTAACACTGTGTGATAAAAAATGGGATATTCCGTTTAAAAAAATCATGTTGGCCTTGATTTCGCCTTTACTCCTTCACTCAAGGTGAATCATATCCACAAATGGATATGCTGATTCAATAGAACTTTTAAAACCCTACAACTTTGGTTGGAAACATTTTTCTCAGAAACGTTTCGTTTTCAAGATATTCAACCGTTTCCAGACTTTTCTAACACCCTGTATATCTAATATTACGTGTACAAATGAATAATCAAATTTTTTCAGCTACATTCAAGGTTTATTTTAAAAGAAAGTAAATTAAATTGTTCAATCAAAGTATTCGCCGTTGCTTTCTATAACTTTAAGCCATCTTTCAGGCAGCTGATGAATTCCATCTCGGAAAAATGTTACGTCTTGAACATGATAAAGTTATCAAGCCATTTTCGGATCTCATCCATCTGATTGGAAGTGCATATCGGACAAGGCATATTGCATCGACCGGAACAAGTGATAATCGGATGGAGCAATGTCTAGTGAATACGCCGAGTGCTGCAAGGCGTCCTAGCCAAGACTCATTATGGTGTCTTTTGTATTGGAAGCAACGTGTGGCCTGGTGTTGTCATGCAACAATTTCACTGGACGTTCTCCTTTGCCAGTATACGGGCGTTTTCGTTCCAATTCTTGACTCAAGCAGATTAATTGACGTTGGTAGCAATCCGCAATAACTGTTTCACCCGGTTCCAACAACTCATAATAAAGCACGCCCTTGATACACCCACTAAATGCAGAGAAGAACCTTCTTTCCGAAGCGATTGGGTTTTGCGATTGATTTTGATGATTCGCCGGGATTTACCCATGACTTTCTGCGTTTCGGATTATCATAGAGTATCCATTTCTCATCGCCCGTAACGATTTTCCACAAGAAAGACTTTCGACACTGCTTATTGAGAAGAGAAAGACATTCGTTGATTTTTGTTGGTTTCAGTGAGTTCATGCGGAACCCATTTTCCTTCTTTCTAGATCTTTCCTATCTCATGTAGGTGTTTGGAAATCGTTTGCTGCGTTACTCCCAACTGTTCTGCAAGCTCTTTTTGTATTTATGCCGAATTCTCAGCGAGCAGTTGTTCCAAGTCATCATTATCGCACTTCGGAGGGCCTGTAGGGCGTTGTTTGTCGATTAGACTGAAATTACCCCTTTTAAACTGCTTAAACCAAAATGCGCACACATCGTACGATACAACACCTTCGTCGAGAAAGGAACAAATCGATTCGCACGCTCTTGCAGCATTTTTTCCTTGTTGGAATTCGTAAAGAATGCAGTGTCAGATATGCACCTTATTTGTTGCCATTTTCGACTGTACCGAACTGAATACTTTTGAAGGTTATGTTGGGCCTTTCACCAAACTATATGTTCTTTTTAATAGCTATATGTCAACATTGCATAATCACAAAAGAGCAGGAAAATCTATTCAATTTAAAATTGATTTCATAACTGCTTAAAGTAATTTGGATTATTCATTTGTACACTTAATATTTATAGAGGGTATCCCATGAGAAATTGCAAGAAATAATAAGCTATCATTTTCGAATGTATTCAGTTATTGTAAAAACAAAAATTGCGTTGGAAAGAAGAAAGTCTGCAATTTTTGATGAGTATAAATAAAATTTTAAAAAGTGTTAGTGTATCAATTCAATGTGTTGACAAAGAATGATGAAAAATATATTAATGATTAAATAAGCTAATGATAAATATTTTCAAAAGGCGCATCATCTGAATTTGTACAAAAATTTTTTTACGAAAACTCGTAAAAATTTTTTTACCATATCGTCTTTAATATTACTGACGACCTTTTTAATGCTACTAAATCTTGTACTATTTTTGGATTTCCGGCATAATAATTATTTTTAATATACTCCTAAAGAAAGAAGTCATATGGATTTAAATCTAGTGCATACAATGGCTATTCTAGTTCTCCTTGAGTAAATGTGGAATATCCCAAACCGATGACTCGGATGTCATAAACTTTATGAATTGTTTTGCCGTAGCACGTTCAGTTAGCAATTGATGAGATGTTAGTTTATACGGATGCATCTTTAGAAAATGTTTTAAAATCCTGTGTATTTTTGTTTTTGATATTTGAAGGGTTTGGGCAACTTTCTGAATGCAAGCATTTGGATTTTGTTCAAAATAATTCTTAATTTCTACAATATATTTTTTTACAGCTACAAATACAGGGGAACCTGGTTAAGTTAAATCGTGTCTATGGTCTTGGATAGTTCTATATTGCATAAAATTATCGATAATTCTGTTAAAAACAACACAAAAATTATTTTAATGTAGATTTATTGCTAAGAAATGGAATAGACGTGACGTCTAAGTTTAAATAATTACTGAATTCTAGCCTTTTCA